GGGTAGAAAAAAAACCAACCATTAAACTGGATTTTATTGTCTCATTTCCAAAGGACATAATCTTTAATTGTGAATATAATCTTTATTAATGCTTTGCAGAAAAGAAGGTAATAGATTCTAGGTAAGAACAAGGTCTGCATATGTTCCCCATATGTTTTCTTGATGTTACCGACGTTTAATCATTATGGAAACTGTACTCTGCCCTCTTTTAACCTTCCATATGTTTACAGGTACAAGAAAAAGGCCCATAATGTCACAGATGAGCTAAATTATCTTTATACTCCCTCAGTTTAAACAGATTTATTTGTTGTTCATTCCTAGGCTCCCTAGCTTCAGTGCCCCTCTCCTGTGGCCCTAGTCCAGGGAAGACGTGGTAGAAAGTCAAGGGAGATAATCAGGCCACACTGCAAAGCTGCCTTGGAGATAGAGTTCTGCATAATTTGTGGGGAGTGAGCACTATATGGTCTCTCAGTAGGAGGAAACTACAAGTTCTCACTGCCCAGTGAGAGCTCAGTGTTCCCTCCATGAGTTTCTGCAAACCCGATTGCTCATTCTAGATTAGACTTAAATTGCCTTACTTGATGTACCAAGTCCAGCTGGCCAGTAGAGTCTGCCTGGAACTCTATGCTGAGAAGAATTCTGAGAGAGGACCGGGAGCACATGTATGGCATGCTTGTTTTCAATGACTTAGATACGTAACATTACCAAAAAGAAGTTTATCAGATGAGAGCTCCCTGGCTAATCACGTAATAGAGTATTATTAGCACATACATCTACTAATCCAAATCTTTTAAAATTCATTGACGGGAAATATTTTGTCCAAACCAAAATTTCGATTACCTGCTATATGAAGCTATTCAGAAATTATAATAATACTTTCAGAAAAGGTACGTAGTGGCTAAAAGGCTTTACATGGGAGTTATTTTAACTCTTATTCAAAGAATTCTTATGCTCTATACTTACAGGATCCCCTCCAGAGGCAAATGAAATAGACTGCATATGATGATTTGCAATAATCTGAAAAACATAAACAAAGTAAATGTGTATGCTGCTATAAATTATTCTTAAGTATATGGAGTCTAAAGGTAATAGACACACATTTGTTTTGCTTTTGTCTGCTAAACATCCCTTCAGAAACCACCTTACCCATATTCTATAATAATCTTATTTAATCCATCAGGTTCAGGAGGGTTTGCTATGCCCATCTCACTGCCCCTCCTCACCCAGGTGGACACATGATCCTGGTCTAGCTAAGAAAGAAAATACCATCATCTCTATGGATACAGCAGAGCCAATCAGTGTCTCTTGGGAGGAACTAAGATGAACATTAGGAGAAAAAGCATCTCTCTCTTTACCATTAAAGACCACGTAAGCCCAAAGCTTCTGGGGGATCTTTTGCTGCCCTTTGGGGAAAATCTGCTAGAATATGAAGCGGGAATGTGAGCTAAAAATGGAAAAGAAAATCTAGTGGCAACATTTATTCCATCACTTTAACCAGTATGTTTCATGCTCTCCCTTTAGATATTTTTTCCTATTTATTTATCTTTGCATATGTTAATTTCAATTTGGTTGTTGTCATATACCACCAAAAGTATCCTAACACACTAAAACTTCCAATAGGAGGTAAGAATAGTCAAGTGAACTGCATTAATTAGCCAGGATGATTGTCTCTTCTACTTGGGATTCTAGATTTGCTTGTTTGGAAACCACAGCATATATCTGTCATACTGTTTTTAAGTTCATTGAAGTACGAACTATGCACCTACTAACTAATCCCATTTTCAGAATTGTGCAACAGAGTCTACTAAATTGCTTATATAAGATGATGGAGCAATTCTACTCTTAGATGTACACCCAACAGAATCGTGTAAAAATGTGCAACAAAAGATATTCTCAAGAAAGATAATATCTGCCTTGTATATAACAGTGCTAAATTGGAAATAATTCCAACAATGACTATGGTGATATTCAAACAGCAGCATAATACATAGCAACAACTTGTTTGTTTAGTCAAAAAAGCCAAACACAAAGAATGAGATTTGTATAAATTTCAAAAACAGTCAAAATTATTCTATTGTATTTTAAATTAGGATAGTGGTTCTCTGGGCCATAGGGAGATGAAGCAAATGGTTTTCTGGGTTGCAGCAAATAGCATTTTTTTAATTTGGGTAGTGGATATACAACTAAGATCATTTTGTGACAACCAAGCTCCACACTATTTGTATAATTTTATATATTTATATTTCAATAAAAACAAAATCAACATACAAAGATGGATATCATTCTCATATACCAGCATTAGCCACTGTATTAGGGGGAGGTACATTTTATGAGAGTATCTAAATATAACACTATTGACAATTAGAATCATATAACAATATTTTCAGAAAAATTCAATGAGAAGTTATAAATAAGGCCAGTTGTGATAGCTCATGGCTATAATTCTAGCACTCTGGGAGGCAGAGGTGGGTGGATTGCTTGAGGTCAGGAGTTCCAGACCTTCCTGAG